CTCCCGCGCCCCTCTCCCGCGCAATCCCGCCCTCGATTTACATCAAAATTCATTTTTTTCATTTCTAGAATCCATTTTATATTCTTCTTTTTCGTACATTCAAAACTACTCAAACGTATATTCTTTCTCAAACGTATTTCCTTCTTTCGAAATTTTCGAAATACATAGGATTAAACATTCTCTCTTGACATTTCATCTTCGAAATTCGAAAATCAGTCTAATCAATTCTTTTTTCGAAAATTTTCGGAAATTTAAAAATTGATTAAATTCTTTTTCGACATTTCTTTTTCATAATTCGAAAACATTCCTTATTCTTTTTCGGAATTTTTGTAATTTGGAAAATATTTTAGAATTAATCAAACTCTTTCCCTTTCGTAACTCGAAAGCCGTTAGAATTTTTTCTTTTTCTTTTTCGACATTCTTTGAAATTCGAAACTACTTTCAATTCTTTCGAAAATTTTGAAAATACTTTAGAATTAATTTATTTTTTTTTAAATATAATTCTAATTAATTCTTTTTTCCCAGTATTTTAATTCACAAATTCTTTTCGCAATTGTTGTTGAAATTCGAAACTCTTTTTACAATTCGAAAGTACTTTTCTTTTAAAAAATGTTATTCTAAACCCCTCAATTAATTTCGACTAAATTCAATTAATTCACCACTAAATTAATCACTTTATTCGAAATTAATTATCCTTTTTCTGAAATGTTGACATTTTCCTTTGAAATTTTTTTGCCAAATATTTCAAAATTTTCCTCTTCCTACTTCTTTTCAGAATTTTATTTATTTATTTATTTATTTATTTATTTATTTATTTTTCCCCCGTAATTCGAAAATATTTTCTTTCGAAATTTCACRTYCTCTTGTAAATAAATTTAAATCTAGATCAGAATTTATTTTTTCGAAATTAATTAACTCTTTCTGTTCAGCGTTTATTTTTGGAAAAAAAAAAAAAAAAACCTTGGGGATTATCTTTATTTTTGAATTTATTAATAAATAAAAAAAAGGGGATTTCCCCCCACACTCCACATGCCACCACGCCAAACCAAGAACTCCCAATGTGCTGCCGTCGCCGCCACCGCTGCTGCTGCATCTTCCACCCCCGTTCAGGCCACGTCCTCCACCCCCTCTTCCCCCGACATGGCCCCAACCTCCATCAACTTGTCTGACATCCGCACCGACTCAGTCGATAGCATCACCCGCAACCTCGCCGGCGAACAACCACCAGCAAACACCGCCAACCCCGACCTCTCTGCCATCCTCCACGCACTCAACTCCGTCACCGCCTCTCTCGTCGGCATAAAGGCCAACGTGTCATCCTTATGCGACCGCGTCACCACGCTCGAAGGGACCACCCCCCCCATCACGGTCGTCACCACCACGCAAACCACTGCAACCCCCACAGTGCAAACCACTCCAACCCCCATAGTGCAAACTACTCCAACCTCCACAGTGCAAACCACTCCAACCTCCACAGCCGCCTCTAGCAACACCCCCCCGCCGACCTCCTCCACTCCTACCACCTCTACCGCCATATCCACCAACCCTTCAATCCCCACCATCGTTCCGTTCCCTCCACCTCCTCCCTCATCCGGCGCATCCAGCACACCGCCTCATTCCTCCCCCACCAAAGTCACCCCTTCCCCCCCCCCGCACTCCCAAACCCTCTCCCAACCCATCATGACCACCTCCACCATCCCCACCATCCGTCCCACCTATTCCCAAGTCACCTCCGGGGCTTTCCCCGCAATGCCACAACTTCCACCCAACTACCTCCTTGAGGACAACAACCAAATCGACCACACCTGCTACGACACCGCCCCCGATAACCTCAGCTTCAACACCCTCGCGTAGATCGTTCACCGCGACGGGGAAATCCCCCGTTCCTTCCGATYTGGCGAAATCATGTCCTTCTCCGGCCTCCCCCACGAGGACGTTTTCCTCTTCCTAACCCAGCTTCAGAACTCTTTTCAGCTCCACCACATGCCCCTTGCCCACTTGCTCCCTATTGCCACCTCCCGCCTCCTCGGCAATGTAGCCAAATGGTGGATGGCTGAAGCCAGCAACCGCCCAGTCTCCGGAGGACCACGCCCCACCTTCCTCCAATGGGCCACCCTCCTCACTGCCATCTTCCGCCCCCAAAAAACCATTGACGATTACCTTGAACAATTCTGCCACCTCCGCCAAACCGGTCCCACGGACCGCTTCGTCCAATACGTCCGCTCCCTCCGACACCACCTCCCCCACACCGTCATTCC